TAGGTATGAATAAGAAAAAAAAGACAAGAAGGAGAAAAGAAATAAAGAAAAGAAAAAAGAAAGAATGAAAAGAAAGAAAAAAGAAAAACAATCGTTTAGGTATGAATAAAAAGCAGAAAAAAAGATATAAAAGGAGTAAAAGAAAGAAGAAAGAAAGAAAAAAGAAAGAAAGGCTATGAAAAAAATAGTTTAAAGAATAACAAATGCAAAAAAAGAAAGAAAGAAAGAAAAAAGAAAAGAAAGAAAGAAAGAAAAAATGAAGAAAGAAGGAAAAAAACTACCGTTTAGTTATGAATGAAAAAGAAAGAAAAAAAAGAAAGAAAGAAAGGAAAGAAAGAAAGAAGAAAGAAAGAAAGAAAGAAAAAACTTTAGGTATGAATAAGAGCGTGAAAAGTTATAGAAGGAAAGAAAGAAAGAAAGAAAAAGAAAGAAAGAAAGAAAGAAAAAAGAAAACTATCGTTTAAAGAATAAGAAAAGACAAGAAGGAGGTAAAAAGGAAAGAAAGAAAAGAAAAAAGAAAGTAAGAAGAAAAAAACGCAGGAGGTTTAGGTATGAATAAAGGCGTAAAAAAACATCATGGAGGTAAAAAAGAAAGAAAGAAAGAAAGAAAAGAAAGAAAGAAAAAAGAAAAACTATCGTTTAGGTTATGAATAAGAGCGTGAAAAAAGACATAAAAGGAGGTAAAAGAAAGAAGAAAGTAAGAAAGAAAAAAGAAAAACTATAGTTTATGTATGAATAAGATGTGAAAAAGACATCGTTGGAGGTAAAGAAAGAAAGAAAAGCAAAAGAAAGAAAAGAAAGAAAGAAAGAAAAAAAGAAGAATAAAAAAAAACTATCGTTTGGTGAAGAAAGAAATAAGAGAAAGAAAAAACGTAGAAGGAATTAAAAAAGCAAAGAAAGAAACGAAAAAGAAAAGAAATAAAGAAAGAAAAACTATCGTTTAGGTATGAATAAAAGCAGATGCAAAAAGACAAAGAAGGAGGAAAAAAGAAAGAAAGAATGAAAGTGAAAAACTAATGTTTAGCTATGAATAAAAAAGAAAAAAGACATCGAAGAAGGTAAAAGAAAGAAAGAAAGAAAGAAAGAAAGAAAAAGAAATAAAGAAAAAGAAATGAAGAAAGAAGGAAAGAAAGAAAAAACGATCGTGAAAATGTAATGTTAAGAATAAGAGAAAATGTGAGAAAAGACATGCAGGAGGTAAAAGAAAGAAAGAAAGAAGTGAAAAGAAAGAAAGAAAAAAGAAAGAAAAAAAGGAAGAAAGAAAACGATCGTTTAGGTGAGAATAAGAGCGTGCAAAAGACATAAGGGAGGTAAAAGAAAGAAAGAAAGAAAGAAAGAAAGAAAGAAAGAATGAAAAAAAAGGAAAGAAAGAAAAAGAATGAAGGAAAGAAAGAAAAAAGATCGTTTAAAAATGAATAAGAAGGTGAAAAAAGACAGAAAGAAAGAAAAAAAGAAAGAAAAGAAAGAAAGAAAGAAAGAAAGAAAACTATCGTTTAGGTATGAATAAGAGCGTGCAAAGACATCGTAGGAGGTAAAAGAAAGAACGAAAGAAAGAAAGAAAGAAAGAACGAAAGAAAGGAAGGAAAAGAAAAACTATCGTTTAGGTATGA